AAAGTGTTCAAGGGACTGAGGCAAGTGCTCTGCTCCGCATCTATTCCAGCATAGTTTATTTTCGAACCAGGTGCTGAGCCATCAACTTTGAATACTGAAGCTAGCGCTACAGCTGTAGGTGGCGTAACCACACAACAGAACCGACAGGGTCAAGAATACGTCACAGCATATGCTATTGCCAAATGAGACAGTCATGTGAGGCGGGGGAGTGCTGCCCAACACAAACTACTCTCTACACTCACGATGGTCAGGCACTTGAGATACTGCCTGATAGCGTGAAAGTTCATAGGGCGTTATCATAGTTGGTAAAAATGGAAGAGATGGGCTGCCCAGCAGCACATTGGTAGGAGTGGGTGCAGCAGTACCAGTTCATCGTGCAATGTGGAAATGGAAATACACATAGTAATGCAGATGCCTTACTTAACAGACCAGACTTGGAGGACTAATTACATTTGGGTGAGTACCCTCGTTCTACGTAAACAAGCTAGATTTCAGCGCATAAACTTGCAGACAACTGATCCGAAGCGGCTTCGTTGCACGAAAGGTGGCATTTCACACCCGCCCACAAGTCGATAGCGAAGGTGACGTTGTCGTCGGGCAAAGTGATCCACCGTGTGTGACAGAAGTGGTCGGAATTGTCCCTAGAGGATGAGATCCTATTACACCAAGACCGAGTCAGATGACAAAAACCCTCAGTAGTTCTACATGCGTCCGCGCAGTCTTTCAAGCCGCACTGCTGCAATTTGACCATATGGAGGAAAGAGTACTCATGCTGCCAAATTTTTCAAGACATACGTGACTTCTGCCGGGCTTGCGCTGTCCGCAGCAAATTCAAAAGTCCTGACTTCACAGCAATCACTCCGCTTCGAACTACGCTAGTAGTGGCTTTGGGAGAGCGAGCAAGCATTGACGCTTTTGGCCCTTTAGCGATGATGGAAATGGGAAGCCATGGCATCTCAGTTACCTTCGATTACTTCACAAAAGATGGCACAGCAGTATCTCTGAAGGTGTCGGATGCTAGAACAATCCCTCACACCTCCTTTTCCTTGCGGATCCGCCGAAATGGAATCCACGGAACCGTACATTACGCTTATGGAGCCAATCTCGATAGTCAGTTTTTGTTAAAGTATGCAAGACTTTCGAGGTTTAAAAGAAGCAAAGCACTTAAGCATTCAATAGACAACGTCCTAATGAAGAGAATGGATTGTAATATGATGAAACTGCTTAAGCTATCGTCTAGGTGCCTCCAGCCGCAGAACCGGGATTTTGGGAATGCTAGTTTCCCTAGCATATGAAGCTAC